GTGATGAGTCAGACCACATCTCACAGCCCTGTGTTCCACTTCTGGGAGAGCGCATGTTCCTGACCAAAATCTGCAGGCTGCTCTCTTCATGCTTTCCCAAATCCACAAGATAGAATGCAGGATGTTAGAGAKCACATTGCTGCCCAGCCCATCAGCAAATGTTTTCTAAATCCGCCATCCTTTGCCCACTCAGTGTTATGAAATCCCTCTGGATTTCCTTCCTATCAGTACAGCATCTGAATACCTGAGAGAGCTTATTTTCTGCAGTCTTCAAGATTTCTCTRTTCATCTCTTCTCTGAGCCAGTAATGGTGATGAATAAAAATTGGTCCCTGGTATACCCTGCCACTGAGTTCTTTCCTACCAAGCTGTATTCTTTCCTTCCAATCTTTTAATCTGCTTTCAATCCATATAAGAACCTTTCCCCCAGTCCTGTGCCAATCTCTTTGCTTTTGGCTTCCYGTAATGCCTGTGTTAATGACACTATTGCTCTGTCTGTCCAAGCTCATGCACAATGTGTGACCATTGTATTTCATTCTTCTTCAGACCCATAAAGGGAAGGAGGGAAGAGCTGTCCTTCAGAGCCTTGCTCCACACAGCACRGAAATGTCCTGAGCTGCAGGCAGCCAGGGGAACTGCTCATGGAACTGTACCTCAACTCATCCTCAACACAGACTCATCCCCAATCACCCCCTCTCAGAGGGGGATGCACCATTCCACACTATACTAATTACAGTACCTTCCACACTATACTCATTAATCAGCTGTAAGATCACAAGGTCAGATGGGTACAGTCACCAGTGCCCAGCACCTTCATAATCCACAKCTCTGGTTCTACCTAAAGAAATCTCAGCCTGGTCTTTACCTTTGACTACAGTAAAATATTACCCGCTAATAACAGTTGGATACTTTGACTCAGTAGATAGACTGGGATAAAGCAATCTAACAGTAATTTATTCTTAAAGCAATATAACAGTAATTTATTATTGTCAGTATGGAGGGTTACTCTGTATTTATGTGTTTTCTTTTAAACAGATTCATTAAACACCTGAAATGGATCATGACCAGGWTAATGGATCAAGTCCTGGAAAGAAACTATACTCTGAAATGTAGAGATGAAAATAAGGACAAGAGAACAAGAAGAAGAGTTGTYATCAGACCTTGTCAGTTGTGACTTCTCTTCGTGGTCTTTGCCTCATGTGTGCACTAACTGCAGTGATTCATGCACCATACTGGGCTTCCATAGGTCATTCTGGGATGGACTKTATGAAATAATGAGATAAACTATGTTCCATTATAACAGAAAATCAAGATGTTGATTTGATAAACTTTTGAATAAATACCATGTCACCCAAATGGACACACTCTWCACATAGCTTAAGCAAGTTTTACAATCACACGTTGAAAATTCTACCAGCCAGTAGTTCAAAGGCAGTGCTTTCTCAGGGGAAAATATGCAGGAGTGACTGAAGGAGGTTCTGTTCAGGGAGTATTATGGCAAGAACTGTGCTAGTAAGATATTTTATTTAAAATGAGAGTTTTGAAATAGATCAGAGAGTGAATTTTATATGTCAGATGGATTYATTATTTAACACAGGATACTTTGCAGATTGTTTAAGCTCACGTTCCTATGTACAGATGTGAAAGCAATACAATAAAGACTGACCTTTTCCATGAAAAATTAAGCAGTTGTGTTGGAGATGTTTTTCAATTTGAACAGAAAATAARTGAGATATACTTTCAAGGAAATTCCATTTTTCCTACAGGTATGTGCATGTAGTTCCAGATTGCTGAGATGGCCAACAGGTAGRAAATCCTTCTTGGGAACAGCTACTTAAAAAATTAGACCTGGACTGAAACATCAGGAACTGTACTGGGGGGAACCCACATATGATTGAGGGCAGGCATTGGACTGGTTTGTTTTATTGTCATTATGCTTTTTTAGAAAAGTCTGATTTTTGTAACTGCAATTGTTAAATCAAGCTGATGAATCAAGAACATTTCAGATAAAGCAGAATTGGAAACAATTCTCCTGACACACTGCATGATGTCTGTSCTCTGCAGTCTGTGTCTGCCATCTGCTCCCAGCTTGGGCTTCCYGATGCACACAGATGGTGTCAGGAGTCTCTTGACAGCCAGTGTGAGGGAACAAGGGGCTGATGGTTTAGATCCCCATGAAACAATGACAAACTTGTGTATCCTGATACTCCCAGTGTGTTGCATTCAAATGGCACATTTTAGCCCCTAGGTAGTAAAAATCACCTCCCAGTTCCCAAAATTCTGTGTTCCAAATGCAATTTTCAGCTGCTCCTGCRAGAAGGAAAGCACTGGCACTGAATCAAGCTTTTCTCCAAGACAGGTTTCATCAGGTGTAGTTCAGGACCTTTAAACACTGGCAAGTGTTTAAAGTGCAAACTCTGCACAGCAATTTGGGAGTGAAGTCACTTAGGGCACAATATTCTAACACACAAAGATACATTCAGGGAATTAAGTCCCCATTTAGGTACCTATAGAAAGAATAAGCAAGTTTAAAACTTGCCAAGCTTGTGTTCATGTGCCCATTTGGTACTAACACAGGAAAGGCTGAATTTTGCTACTGAAGGGGGCATTCTATAATTATTAATTCATAGTGTTCACAGAGATGGCTTCATTACTTTCAGGATCCCACATATGCCATTTCAAGAACATGGTTCAGTTTGTCACTATTGGTACTTACTGCAGTACCTAGTAATCTGTAATAAATTCTCTGCAGCAGGTTTGTGCCWCACAGTGCACAATAAAGCAATACAAATTTCACTTTAGGGATTCTGAATCTTAGATCAAGATTTCTGATTTCCCAGAACAGCCCAGCTTCATGCATTCAAAGGATGGGGAGAATGTTACAGGATCCTACTGTGATAACACAGTCCTTGGCATTTTAGCAAGGCTTTTTGACAACAAAACAGATGGATGTAAAGAGAGCAGCATTTTTCTCATCCTAAAAGATTTTTTTAGAACACAGATTTGATCACAACAGCTTCTTTGAAGATAGCCAGTGAATTCAATCTCGATACATAAGGCAAAAGCATTTTGGAGGAGCTTTGTGCTATAAGAATATCCAGAYTTTGAACCACGATTAATTTTAGAACTTTTAACTGCAAAGACTTAGTAAGGTTGAAAACCCCTCTTTGCTTTTATTAGCAGRCAGCCTCAGCCAGCATATTTGTATCTCCTAGTCCTGAACTTACAGTCTGTCAGTTGGCATTGCAAGATCCTGTTCCTGTTCAGAAAGAATTACTTCTCCATTTCCAGACCACTGAACTGTTAAGTGCCAGCAGGACTATCCTGTCTCCCTCACACACAGTGCTCTCCATTAACCTGCAATACAAAGCCCCAAGCCTGTTATTGTGTCAGAAGCCAGCAGTTTCTGTGTGGTTTCATAGCATAGGGAAAAATAAAAATAATTTTCAACAGGTACTACCAGGTACTGTAAAACAGAATACTCACTTTTATTAATACTTWAAAAAAGATGTGTAAAGACAACCAAAACTTATAATCTGTATCAAAATTTACAATCTGTACATTATAAACATACAACCCGCCCTAACTCAGAGAACAGCAGTAAACCCAACATGATGTTAGCAATGCAGACAGCACCCTGTATCATTCAGCTGCCTGTGTAATACTTAGCACATTCTCAGATTCAGTCACAGTAAAGTGCAGCTGCAGAATATATCCCTAAAGGGGCATTTGTCATCCAAAGCTCAGTTCAGAGAAGCCAAGACAAGGGCTCACCAMGGATGTGCATGGCTGGAGTGCCGCAGGCTGAGGGGAATATCACACAAGATTTGGCTCAAACTACCTCCCATGCAAGAAGCTCAAAGAGGAGAGGGTAAGTAAGATTTTTTATCCATGACTSTGGCTAGAGTGTGGCTAGAGAGAAGAACCATGCAGATAGTTAAGAAAAATACCACATTCTAATTACAATCATGTTCTCCACAGTTTTTCCACTTTGTTCTCTATTCCTTCAGGTGTTGTGCCTGATTCCCTGCTCTCAGAAACGAGAAACAGACTTTCTTTCCTCCCTTCTCTCTTTAATTTGTCCACATCYCTGCTGTCAGGATTCTGCAGGCACTGAAACTTCAGCAGAGGAGTAGAACTTGCTGGAAAGAACTTGCTGGAAAGATTGTGGTTTTGAACTGTTTAAATTGGGGACTTTTTAAAGTCCAAGAAACAGAGTATTTGAGAGGTTAGTTGAGAGATTCTAGTTTCACAGATCCTTGGCTCGGTATTGTCAGTGATTCCTCGCAGAAGAGATTTCAAAGAGGTGTTGAACTAACCCTGAGCTAACTGTGAAGTAGAGACTTCCCATTTTGCAGCATTTTGAACATTCCTGGCTTTTTCCATCCTTTTTGTTGTTCTGTCTCAGACTGTATCTGGTCAGGAAGGCAGAATGCTAGTCCTGACCTGACAATTGCCTCTGCACAACTTTAAGTTCTCTTCATGTTCACAGAGCAGAAATAAAAGAAAAAAAGAGATAATTGGTTTGCTATTGCAGTCAGCAGGATGAATATTTGGCTCACATGTGCCTGAGACCAGCAGCATAGACATGATAGTGCTTTGAAATGTGCTTTTGTCTGTGATTGCCTGGTTACTCRTAACTCTGTACCAGAGGGCCACATAAACCACACACAGTAGTGATATCAGTGTCAAGTATAAAATTGGTGCTTGTAAACATTTATGCTGCTAGCTGYATTTAAGAAATTAAATACCAATCCAGATATATAAATTTAAAGTTCTCCTTTGAGAAGAACTAAAAACCTCCAAAGATTGTCACTTTGAGGATTTGTGTGCAATAAAATGGCTATTTTTATCCACTTGGATTTGTGATGTTAGAAAAAGCCTTCATAATTTTGCACTTTTAATTCCTTTCTTCTCATTACTTCTTTTTTTTTTCCAATCTTTTTGAAGGATTCTGTAACAAGAGAGTCAAAGAAGATATGTTTCTGTCCCTTATAATACAACATTGATTATTAGCATGGAGAAAAGAGTCACTTCTAGATKCTTGTGAATAATCTTACCATATCAGAACATTTTCTAGGACTGATGATTCTTTTTTATGCTCCTCATCCTAATGCTTCAAATCAGTCCATACAGACATCTTTAAAATGGAACTTTGAGATCATCAGACCAAATTTGATGGCATTTACCACTGGCACCATGAAACAAGCAATCAGATTTGATCTGTCAGTGCTTCARATGTTGCAGGTTGAGCAGCTTTCAGTTTGTTCTTTGATGAATTGATGATGGAATTGTATACTACCAATRTCCTGGGGGTTCCTGGTCTCCTTTAGAGTAGTCACAGTGTCCAGGTGCTCTTTTCGTCTTTGAAACTTGTTGCTTAAGCCTTCATCATTTCAGCAGAAATACAGTTGGGTCTTTGAACAGCATTTTATAACTCTCTAATTCACCCAATTTAAGCATGATTTAGAAACTTAAATGTGACTTTTTTGCAACAAACATGAAAACACCAATTCAWAAAGCAGCAGGAAGACAGGAAAGCACAGAGGACACCCTCCCCTCTTCTTTGTGACACCTGTGAAATGATGAAAACAACATTAGATGTACATCCATCAAACCAATCACCGTTAAGAACACCAAAATCATAGATTTGATCAGCTCTGTGAACAGTGACTGGTAGATGCTGGATRTTTCAGGTTTGGGAGACACAATCCAGACTTCCTGCTGCTATTTATCCTCAGTGCTAATTCATTTCTTCACAGTCTTACCCCTAATGTCTTCTTTCCACGAAAGAGTTGGGTTACAGTTGGGTTAGAGTTGCTCAACAGGACAGAGACTCAGCTGACTGAAGGCTGGTAAGGAGCACTGCAGTTTTTCACTGCTGCTGTATAAAGCTGCTCTGTGAAGCTGCTCTGGCWCCTGAATGTTCCACAACCTGTAGCCAGGTCAGTGCCACACAAACWCCTGGTGATGACTGCACTGAGAGCAGGGGTCATGCAAAAGCTTGGGTCTCTGTATGGTCCAGGGAGCCACTGGCCATTCCATGGCCAGGCCCATTCAAAGCATGGCTCATGCTGCTGTGATCACACTGCAATTTGGTTTCTTGCCATCTAAAGAAAGCTGGAGCACATCTGATACCTGCCTTGACTCTGGCATCTCATTGTTCATTGGGATCATTTCACTGATGCAACCTGCATTTTTTTTTTTTTTAAGAAGAAGCACATGGCAGAAAACTGGGAACAGAAATTCTACACTAAGCCCCTAACTTCCTGTGCTGGCTGCAGCTCCTTCAGTCCAGGACCATCAAGGCAGTCAGATCCTGGTGACTACTGACAAACTCATTAAACTCTTCAAAACGCAATTACTTCAAGAATCTTTGAAACTGCAGGCAGAATCAATGAAGTAAAAGTGGCTGCCAGTGGCTAAACCACACAATRAGACTGAGAACAAGGAATGTAGGAGAGAGTGCTTTGCTCTGAATACAGTACAGGTACAGCTGCATAGTGAGACAAGCAGCTGTTGAGGATTTGTATTAAACAAAGGAAAYGTGAAAGGACTTCATAAAAGTCAACAAAACAAGCTCTGAGGAGTACAGAACTCATCTATTAAACATGAGCAGTGCACAGAGCCTTAGTTTTCCACAAAAGAAAGGAAAAGGTAAGAAGGGCAGCTGCCAGTCACTGGACTGAGCTGGACTGGGAGTTCTGGTAGTCCTTTTTTCTTACCACAGTACTTGCAGCCTGCTAGTGCAAGGTGCCAGGGAGGTGGGGGATGCAAGGTGAGTGGGGGGAAAGGGGGCCTGATGTGACATTGGTGTGTGCCACTCTAGGGCAGTGTCTCCATRCTTGTCCATGGCCACATGGGTGCTGTTACTGTGCCTGCTGCCCGTGAGCCTGGAATCAACAGCTCCCTCAGAAACAAACCTGGCTGTCTCAAGGAGCCCAGTTTTGTGTTACCTTTATGGAATCCTCTGAATCTACACACTGATCCTAGAGTCCAGCTGCTGAAGGTGYTCAAGAACTCCATAGGGAATGGTGGGATTCCACATCCTGTAAGGCAAATGCAGAAAGGAAAGAGATTTTAAGAAGCATAATTTGCCTTTCTTTTGGTGTGTTTGGTGTTTGGCATGTTTGTAGCTTTTTGTGGTTGTTGCTATTGTTTTCTCCTTTAAAAAAAAAAAAAAAAAAAAAAAAAAAAAGTTGTCTTTCCCTTTGACTACCATGCTATGAAAGTATATAAGCTATGGAACAAAGGAAAATGGATTTTGATTTAGAGAAAAGCAGGTCAGTACTCCATAACCTTGTTGGCTCTGGTTACAGGACACAACTGTAACTACAGTCCTGTCCCTGTAACTGTTCTTTAATTTTCCATCAAACTCCCTTCCTCTGACCTGTACTGGCAGCTTCAGTCTACTTCACCTTAATGAWGGCTGCTCATTGTTTATCCCTCAAACACAAGTGGTGCAGCACAGAGCAGCTCTGGTTCTCTGGGGCTCTGCAAGGTTGACACAGGGAGGCTCTAAGTAAACTGTTTAAGGCAACACAAGCTCAGTTGCCTCGGACCACTGGGAACAAATACAGCTGAAAACTGTTTTTTTTTTAACATCTCTGCTTTTGTATTTTGGTGATGTCTTCTTTTGTGCCTCTTATAAATCTGACAAATACAGAAKGCAGCTTTAGCATGATCTCTAACCCAGTTTTACAGAATGAAGGTACAGCAAACAGCCTGTCAAGAGACTTACACCAAGTTCTTTATATGGGGACATTTTCGTAGGCTGTCAGTCAGCTGCTGGGCTCCAACACCAGTTATTTTGTTATACTGAACACTGAGGAATAAAAACAACTTTGTTAATCCAAACCAAATGTAATCAAACATTATATTCAAAATCAAAAATACTATATAGACTAATCTGCAGATGGGGGAACAAAATAAAAAGGAAAAACCCCCAAATTGATTGTTGATTCAAAAATCCTGTAATAATATACTCAAAAGGTGAACTTCATTATGTTAATTCATCTGAAGGAGTCCTTTCTCTATGTATTTGAGGTCATTCTCCAGCTCCCCACGAGTCTCTTCTCCCACCTTAACACCAGTATTTTTGGGTTTATGGTGAACTGTTCCTTAATTCTTGCTAAGYACTGACTATCTGGACTCTGCATAAGCACATTTTCTCTGTGAAATTCCCCTGAAATCTTCCTCAGTTTCTGTCTCCTCTAAAAACAAACAYGGAACATTTGTATTTTCAGTCTCCAAAGAAGTAAGCCTTCCTGGGCCATTTCAAAAGATTTCATACTCACTCTAGCACTCTTAAAGAAGTCATTGCAGGAAGAACTTTTGCCAGACTTTCTGCTCCGAAGTCACAAATGTTGTTATTGTACAAGCTGCAGAAAACCAAACCAGTATAGTCACAATTGAATAATGGATAATGTAAACAGATCAAGGCTTTTCAGATATGGTTAGCACRTCTTAAATTTCCATTTATCCTTATCTGCAGTTAAAATTTAAAACATGCATTCCTATTTCCTGTATCAAGTAAGGCAAGTGGCCACATCCTTCTTCATCCAGCACAGATACAGCAAAAATAGGTCCAGATTCTCCTATTCTGTGAATAATAAGAACATCTCTCCTACATTAGATCAAATTTAAAATCTGCCAAAAAATGAGGCTCAAAGATTTGAAGYACAACATTCAAAATATTTGCACATCATCAAATTACTCCAGAATTTCACACCAKGGTTTCTTGCATTCCCTTCTTCACTGAGGCCTGTGCCACATGTCCTAAGGCAGGGGGATGGACCATTGTTCCTGTATCAGCAAACACAGCCTTGGGCTTGCAACAGATGGTGGCCCTGGGTGCACATCTGTACAGGGCATGATTCATGAGTGAATATTATGGACTGGATAGAAAARTCAGTCCAGTCCATGCTATATCCCTTCTGTATCTCTGTCATACTTCTTTCTGAAATCTTTATGCAAGAATGAAGTCAAAAGCTTGGCTGCTGCAGTGTTACCTGTTTGTTCCATGTTCACAGTATCTGACAGAGACAGCAAGGTATGTTGTACAAAACCACTCAACAGGACACAGCTACTCACCTTAGTGTTTTTAGGGAAGACAAAGAAGGAAGAGCTGTAGCAAGGTTCTCTGCACCCAGGTCTGTTATTTTATTCTGTGATAAACTACAGTAAAAAAGATAACTTCGTTAGTTGAGCATATTTATTCTAATTTATTCTAATTTATTATAATGTGGGGAAAATTAATTTTCAAATTTTATAAAATTTTAATTTGGACAGTCTGTTTAGACCAAATACAGAGAAAAAGACAAAATACAGCTCTTGAAGGGAAGTCAGGAAGGATTAACCTATTTGTCTAATGAATGTACAGATTAAGTATCTCCATAGGCTCATTGGTCTTCCATGCCCATGGGATATTCCTGCCCATAATTGTTAACATACAGTCCCTTAAGCCTCTAGGTTTAATCTATTTTTTTTTTTTTTTAATTTCCCTGAACTGTTAACCTTGCACTTACTTTAATGTTTCCAGTGATGTTAGGGTTGGAAAGACTTCAGATAGACTCTTTGCTCCTTCATCTCCTATGCCATTTTCACTGAGAGCATCAAGACTGTGTGACGACAAAGAGAGAATTAGCTTTCCTTTTAATCTAAATTTCTGTGGTTTATTCACCTCAGAGACCACTCTATCTATCTTGAAAAGCTCCTTCTCTGCAGTAGCCTCAATCAGCATGAAGCATCTCATAAATTATAGCTTGTCTAATAAGCAGCTTTCTGCTGCCCAAATTTACAGTCTAAGAATTTTTTTTTTACTATTTGAATGGCTTGACCCATTTCCTTTGATATGCAAGATTATTAAAATGGTTATGAAATAGCTGTGTTCCAGCTAAGCTGAAATRAGATTTCCTGTGCACACAAAAATACAGAACTGACAAAATCCAGCAGAAGCTGTAAATCCCTGCCTAAACAGCTCCTTCTCCAGAGAGGGAGTATTAAAAATGAAGTTTTCCCCATATCTAGTCACAATTTCAGATACCGGATCCCCTTCTAATCTGACAGGTAATAATGGGATATATCGGACATATTTCCGTTTAGAGCTTTAATGTTTTCCTGAAAATCATGAAAAGGCCAGATACAACACAGACAAATGGGCTGAGTAAGGCCAAACACCCTCTCAAAACCCAGTAACCTTCCCACAGATACCATGGCAGAACATTGACTACTGCTGGAATAATTGTTTCGAGTTGGTTTGTCATGGATATTCTGGAGCTCCAGTGAAGACRTAAGTGACTGCAGGCAGTTGATCAGTGCTGGGGCAGGAAGGAGAGAGCACCCAAAGGGCTCTGTACAGAACCTTTAACCACCCAGGAACACCCCAGGAAAGGACTGAGAGGTTCTGAACAAACCAACACCACATGTCTCCAGGGAGGATGGGGAGTGTCAGCTTTTACTCTGCTGTTACCATCTGGGAATGTTTCTGCTGTTCAGTTTGGTCATCAAACAAGGAGTCTTTTTGRCAAATAAAACTTTTCTTGGGTAYAAGAGCTCCTCYACTATCAAGAGCTGCTGAGGAGAAATGTTAGCAAAGTTAATCTTTAGCAGAACTTACTCTAAATGCTGAAGTGATGGAAATGCTGCAAGAATTTTCACGAGTTTTAGCAGTCCTTGAAGGCCACATGCTGGACCCAGYCTGGAAGAAAATACAGACATGTAGCAGGTTTTTCACATGCTCACAAGCAGCAAAACTTGTGAATTTTTAACTTCTTCCCCTGCAGCCTCCAATGGAAGCTAGTTTACAGCAGAAGCAGCCATTCCCTACACCTGCACCAAGGTGTTCTGCTGTGAAGCCTCCAGGTGAGAACCAACAATGCTAGGTCAGGCAGGACATGCATTTCCCACTTTTTTTGTTCCCCTTTGCAAGACTCATCTCACTTGTTTTAAATTCCTGTATTTCTGTTCTTTATTTTTTCAGATTTTTCGTTTTAAGTATGATCTTTAAATGAAATATATATGTATCTCAGTATAATTGAAATGAAAACAAAATTATTTTTCCCCCAACTAATGCCAATTCAGTCTAACTTAGGATCAAAATTTTACTGCAGCTTAAAGCATAACTTGCACTTTAATATCCACGCTCCGAGCATTTGTCCCTCAGATCCTATTTGTAGTTTCCTTGGGATCAGAACAAGTTCAGCTAGTTAAAAGGATTAGAATTTTAAACAAAATTTAAATAAAGGCAAATAGGAAGAGGAAGAGAGAAGAGAAAGGAGCATAAAAGCAGAAGTGAGGTCAAGAATAGCAGTCCCAGGTTGGGTTAGATCTGAAGAGCAGGAAACAAGTGAAGACCTGATGAGAATTCTCCATTGCAGTGCTGCAATTTCTGCCCATATGAATTCATGGCAGGATGTTTTGAGCAATAGAATAGCCTTGGAGGCTGCTTACAGTTGGGGGAAAAAAGAAATGTTACCAAAACTTCATTTTAAAAATAATGTTACCAGATCAACCTTCAATCTTCTGGGAAAGGGTACAAAATAATTTATTTGGGAGGCATTCTCGGATGTAATTCTCTCATGGCCTTAGCCCTGACAGGGTAGAAAAGTACATCAAAAACATTTGATAGAAAAGTTCAGCATTTCTAGGGGGAAAATTTTTGCCAGTTAGTTTGATCACAGTGAAAGTATTTTATTCCCTGTGGCACAAGTCCTACACCCTGTGGTAAGGAGATAACTTGTAGTAAAATGAAACCAAATTGGTAGAGCCCTGTTGATCTGTATCACTGCAGAAGCCAGAAATGAGGTTTTTTGGCCATAACTTAATAAATCTAGTTGAGAAAGGGACGATATCAATAAATGGGGTTTACTTAATGCTTTACCATTAATTGACTACATATCAGTTCAATGACTTACAACATCCATAACTTCTCCTTAAACATGACCCTCTCAACAGTAGAAGTCCAGCACTTACGCGAATTCGAGTTTTCTGAGGTTTCTGATGSCCGGAATTTCATAGCTGGTGAAACCAGATGCACCTTGCACACTATATAAATCACAGTAGAACCAGAGCATGATAAATATTTTGGCAAAAAAAATAATTTGGCTTTAAAAATAATTTTTTAGCAAATTTTACAGAAAATAAACTACTTTTGCATCAACAGAGAAACGAGGAAACTTTAGAGCAATTTCTGCTCCAACCTTTCTTCAACTGAAAATTGTGTATATATAAATACATAATGTCAATCTGGTAATTGCCTTTCATAGTGCAATTGTTTGCTCTTTTCCCAGCAAAACTCAGAAATACATTTTTCTAAATCGACTATTTTCTGTCAAACATGAAACTATTCTGTCTATATTTTAATCAAATGCTTTTCCCATGTCAAAATGCATGTCATCATTACAAAAAAAAAAACAACAAAACTTTATTTCAGCATGCATTGAATTGCAGCCAATCCCCTACCTACATCATCAGAAGGGATGAAACACAGGTTTTCTAGGCCATGTAACACAAGCTTTTACYTCCTGGGCTAAAGGACTGGCTCAGGCCATTTGGGACCAGTGCAAAACAGGCTGTCATTTATGCCCAGGCACTACAGGAGGAAAGAATCAGCCCAAGTTATGTAAYTGAAAGCAACTGGAAGATGACAAACTCAGAGATTAAAGAGAAATGACAGCTGGCTGTTTTTATTGGCAGTTTTGATGACTGCTCTGCCTGGTGCTGTCATTGCTCCTCCCTGCTATGACCTCCTGCTGGGGTAGGAGGACCCCTGAGATGACACAGGGGCTTGCACTGCCTTAGTTACTTCTCTGGACAAGCAGACCCTCCACTGTTCAGCATTGTCAGTGAAACCCTATTTTCATCAATTACTGGTGTAAGAGGAGTTTTGATAATAAGTGATCCTACCAATTCATCATCTTCTCCTGCAGCTCTACAAGGTCACAGAGGTCACAGATGTCCTTCATCGTCTTTGCCTTAAAGGGATCAAGAACAAATTTCTCTGTGGATGCTTTCAGCAGCTCGTAGTCTTTTGTCTGTTCTAAAGATTTCCAGAGCCTGACTGCATCACTGAGGGAGGCCCTGTGAAGTGACAGAACGTGCAAAACCAACAGATGTGACTGCTGTTGTTGCATGCAARTGTCATCTACACACAGTGCTAGGATGATGCTGTGATGTACAGAGAGTGACCAACCTGAACGATGTCACGTTCCTGAGGCTGACCAAGGCTTTCAGCCCTTGCAGGTCAATGCTGCTGTTTCGCAAATCCAAGGAAAACTCTTTTCTTGACCTTTTCAGAATAGAGTGMAGTACATGGACATCAGGTGGTGAAAGAACTATGCCCAGAAAGGACAAGTCTGGCTCGAGTCTTAAGGCCACATGCTGCAGAAGATAATTGTTCTGTGTTTCATAAATACAACGTAAAAGCTCCAGCAACCTCTCTGGACAGAGATTATTAATCTGCAGCCTTCTAATGTTTTTTAAGAGTGTTTTCTGCTTCTTGATTGATTGTTTTGCRTCCTCATTTGAAAGAGAGCAGAAGTAAGAGTCATGCTGGAGAAACATCAAACCAGCCAGAAATCGAGGCATTAAATCTAACCAATTATAAGGTTTTTTCTTCTTGGATAGAAAYGACAAGTACTTGGTTAGATTTTTATCCTTGAGCTCTTCAGCTAACAAAAGGTGAAGTGCACACAAGAAATTCTGAATGACAAAGTCAGAGAATGTGCTCCCAAATTCCTCTTCTTCACTATCTGAATGTCTGGGGGACGCAAAAGGCAGGAAAAATCCRTATCTCAGGGCAAACTCTTTAACTTCCTTAGAAGGAAGAAGATCACTTTTCATGGCACTTTGGTGCTTTTCTCCCAGACACCAGGCTATACGGGCTAGGGTAGCAAGACTCTCCTGATTTTGTGTGGTTGTAACATCTGTTTGCATAAGCATTATCTTCTGCTGAAAAAATTTCAGGAAGACTTCAGTAAGAGTTGAAGGAAGACTTTTCTCCCCCATTTCAAGTACTGTCTCACAKAGAAAACAAACAAACCTACACATAATGGGGCTGTAACAATGACTAAACAAGTACTCACACTCTTTGATTAATTCCAGTGCACTCTCACAGTAAGGTGATCCTTCAAAGTATTTGGTTATGTACAATTCCCTCTGCTGAGGGGAAAATCCTACTATTTCAAAAGCCTTATCCACTTTGGACACGTACTGGAACAGTTTGTCTTTTGGTCTTGCTGTAAATAATAAAGTACAACCATTGAGTATCTTTTTTTGGATGAGTCCTGAAAGCAGCTCCTTTATACTGCACAAATCTTTTTCAGGCTGGCTRGCTGAGCAATGAGGGAAGTTCTCGTGATCGTGCAATCCTTTAAAACCATCAAAAACCAGAAGGACTTTAGCAGGATTTTGCAATATATACTCAAAGATCTCTTTGCTTCCCTCTTGAGGTTTTACGAAAAATTCAAGCAGCAGTTCCTTCAGGCTGTATCGCTTCTCAGGCAAGCTTATTTGTTTCCAGTCAAACCAAAATACAAATTCAAACTGAGAAAACTCTCCATTAGACCAGTCCTGGCAGATCTTCTGAACAAGAATGCTTTTGCCCATTCCTGCTTTTCCCAGCACCACAATCACTTTAGTCTCTAAGTCTTTACGCTGTGGGATTTGAAATATTTGGCTTCTGTCAATGGCTGTCTTTTCCTTCTCTTGCAGGCTGCAAGTTACCAGCTCCTTTTCCACTGCTTTTGCACTATTCTTTCCAGTCTTGGTTTCAGTTTGACTTTGAACAAGTGTCCCATCAATGAACAGGTGATCCAGATTTACCTCCCGCTCCGCGGTCACAGATTTGCACGTGTCTCGGAAATAATCCTTGAGAGACGARCAGAAAGATTCCACTTGCTCTAGAGAGACAAAGAGCACACCAAACTGAAGGAACCATCCACAAACTACAACATCATCTCATGGTGGTTTGAGTGCCTAACTGTAATATGGTGAAAGCACAGAAACTCCCATAAAGCTCATAGGTCTGGATTTACCCCATGCAGCTGCAGCTGAGAAGTGCAGGCACAACAGACACTTTTAGACCTATGAATTGAATAGTTTTGGAGCTCTCTATACAGATGATAAAACCACCTAAGTACACTGACCTGCCAAGTAGGTTCTACAGCTACATATCTAAAGTAACCAAGTCTAACATCTTGAAACCAGGAATTGTGCTCAGACCCTCAGAACAGCTTCACAAATTGTTGAATAATTCCTACAAGCAGCTTTTTGTATGGAAAGAAACACAGAATCTCTTTCAAAAAAATACTGGAAGGTTTAARTTCAAGACTTCTAAACTCACCTGGTTTTTTGAAAGGTTCCTCAGGAGGAATTGTGGAATCTTGAACTTCTTGAAATATTTCTAAATCTGGAGAAACAAAACAATGTACTTGAAGCAGATGCCTAGATAATAATTGATTCAGATTTACTAATTTTAGCAAAAAGACTAACACAAATTTTCAAGTTCATTGCAATACATCCAGAGTAAGAGATATTTTGTTTGTATTACAAAGAAAATGAAAATAATTCTCGACACAGGTAGAATTTTGCTAATATGCACTGTTGGAGGCAGAATAGCACCAAACAAGATAACAGCTTGTTAACAGCTTGCATGAAGCAGATCTACCATTACCAGGTGACATCCACTTTTTTTTCAAATGCCAGTGTTTTGCATAAATTCATGTTCACACATAGTGCTTTTTAATGTCTTCAAAAGCAACAGCTTCCTTTTGTTATTCTACACATTGTAACCAAGCACWAAGGATGAAAGTCACAGAGAGTGACTGTTGGTAACATATTTACCCGTTAACCATCCCCTGACAAAATCCCGTTGCTGTCCARTTTTCTTTCTTTTCACCTGTTTGCTTTCAAACTACTGCAGACTTTTGCAATTGGGTCAGATGAACAGTGTCTACTTTACACAAAGAAATTGGGAATTTTTCAGAGAGAGCACGTTTYCTACAGATTGGTAATTGCAGAGTATCACTTTTGACAGAAATTTTGGTAGGAAGAGCTTTGCATATGCAAGACAGAATTTAAATTGATAGAGGCTGTAGCACACCCAACCTCAGTCTCATAACCACACACAGCAGAGATGTGCAAAAAATCACCCAAATCAAAACAAATTAATCTCCCTAAATATGTATAAATGTGTTTCATATCATAATATCATCTTGATTATCTCCATGTRGAATGTGGTCTAAAAGAATTACAAATCTTAGAGCTTCAGAGATCTGGAAATGAATTCCTACCCTGCATACCAGCAATCTGCAGAATGGTTTGGGTCCAGAGGTGCTTCTAGCAGAGAAGCACCACTTCTAGTAAAACAGTCCTTTTTTTCATTGAAAGAATACATTTGATACAAAGACAGTTCTCCTCTTTGTAGGAGAAAAATCAACCTAAGACATTAAATACAGAAGGGTTGTGCCTGTTTTGAAGTGTCTGGTTTTGGTTTACTATTTAWTTTATTAAATAAGAAAATAGAATGGAAGTACAGAAGAAAGGGCTGTAACGAGACATTTAGATGGGAAACTGGTCAGATTAGTCAGGAGTGAAGAACTTTTAAGAAAGGTAAATAAACTTGGCATCTTACCTGCTAATTTTTCTGCTGCATTTGGAATTCCAAGATTTGTGGTGTACATATGTTGTGCTGCAGTAAATCAGTTGGAATTGTCCGCATTATTCACATGAACGGTATATACAGTTTACAAAGATTTCCCTACACCTAGGGATATTTAATCTCCTAATCTCCCCGGTACACTTTTACTTTTTGAGGTGGTGGAAGCCACCAGAGGGCAACAAAATCCTGTACTGGGCACAGGGACCAGAAACTAAACGCTGACATCAGACTCCTGTTCCAACAGCTCTCTGAGGGCTGGAAGAAAAGCTTCTCAAGAATGTTTGTTACCAGAAGTGGGATCGTTATATCTTCACCAAGGCTCTGATYCCTTTATAAGCCTTTCTGTGCATTMGGCTTCAGTATTGTTCAGCTAAATAAGTTGTCATCATGTTGGTTTTGGGGTGTCCATGGGAGCTGGCTGCAGTCTGGCTGCCAGCACTGAGCATTTAAGATGCTCAGGCCATGACAGCACCAGATCATCTCCCCCTTCTGAGAGTGCTCCAGCACATTGGGCTCTGCATTGTTTTAACTGAACATGACCTGTTCMAAAAACTGGATGTCACAGAAACACAGTGGATTGGCTGCTAAAGTGTAGCTGAACCTGTAGCTCTACAACTCTTATCTGCACTTTATTTGGGATTAGACTAAGCAGCCAGTGATCAACACAAAGAAGGAAATGCCATCAATGTTTATTTTGATCAATAAGGTCAATATGAGTAAAGCCTGGAGTGGAGAATTGGCTTTGAGGAGAGGCATTATGGTCCCTATCCCAACTCAAAGTGCTGTACATATAGAAACCTCAATTTTCTACTTACCACATAAACTATCTGGAAAACTTGGAGGTGCAAATGTTTCTATGGAAGAAGTCAGCACTGGCAAGAAACAAAGCAGAGTTTTCAGCATATCACAACTATCAGTAACTATATTTAATGCTGCTGTTGGCAGCATCGAGTTTTTAGCACTTTATGCCTATTTATGTGGATGAAAGGCTATTGCACTTACCTGGATATATTATAACATCAGATGTGCCATTTTCAAGAACAAAGTTAAATATCTGCTGAGGRGGAGCTGCAAAGCCTGGGTTCTCTTGGTACCCTCTCACATTGAGTGGTAGGCACTGTGCAGTCAAAGGTTCTGACAATCCTGAAATGAGTGCAAAATAATTACTCTTCTGTTTTTAAAGGGKTTTGCTTTCTAAAGCTTTATAAGAGAGAAAAAGCTTTCTAAAAGCTAMTTATCCTTTCTGGCAGCTTCTGGGCAAATCTTCCCTGTGGGGATTCATAGGATCACTTGAGGTCCATAGAATCCACTAAAAAAAAACTCTTACAGGGTACAATGAGCATGAAATACAAGGGATTAYCCAGCTTTTAGCAGCCACTGGTTTTCAAAGTCTAAAGAAAAGTTCTATTATCATAAGGAAAAGTGCTTAAGGCAAAGTCCGTAAATGTATAGCCAGAGATCCAGAGAAGAGAAAATGTGTCAATWGTACGGAACTGCATTAATTTTACCTTCCTTTGCACTACATCCTTCCTCACATGTGCACATCATCCAGATTGTACAAGCATGCTCCCTCTCAACCTCCGCTCAGAAAGTTTTTTGATGATTCAGTGCTTGCAATTTAATCAGCCATAGCTCTGAGTTTCTGTAGGTGTGACAGAATTTCTTCTGCTACTTTTTGCTGCTTCAGCTAGCATCAGATACTTCAAGACTTCCAACTTACACATTGTTTTTGGTTCCTTTCCAGCCCAGACTTAACAATGAAAGGTGTTGAGCTGTGCCTTTGTCCTCAGCACTACTCACTGCACCCTCTGCTACMCAGCCTGGCCATGGCCCATCACTTGGATTACTGCTCAGTTTTTACCAGCTAAATCACAGCCTAGATTCTGCTCTGCTGCTGCAAATATAATTATCCCTCTGTCCTTTACAAACCTCTGGGTGAAAAAGAAATTGGGACTAAATTAAAGTTTATTAATGAAAATTTTTTTACTTCCTATTGTTAAGACAAGTAAGTAATTACTTAGACTAGCATATAGTGAGTAACTGTTCTCTTATAACCTGCACTTCACCAATTAAATGAAAGAGTCATTCTATTTCATTAGGGGCAGTGCCCTTTTCATTTCCCTTGAATATTTTCTATTCTTTTAATGAGTGCCACACTTTTAAGTGCTTSACTGAAACAGCTGCCATACCTGTTTTTCCTGCCATTTTTCATAGTCAATGACAAGGTTTAAAAGAGTTTTCCCCTTSTATAAATCAGCCTGTGCACAGGTGCACACCTACAGCTGTACTAGGAATTATGAAACTTCTTTCCTACGTACCAGGAATTATGAAGCTTCTTTCCAGCCCATGAGCAGCAGGAACAGAAAAGGACATRTGCTGGTTGGTTAGGGAGGTGTAGCTCACTGGATGGCTGTTGAGAGGCATAGCAAAGAAACTGCCATTCCCTGCAGACACTGGAGGGACTTCCACTTTAAAAGAAAAAAAGCAAAACAAAAGGAGAAATTTATCTCATTGGTAGAAGTTAAAGGAACCAAAGAAGAGATCTCAGTAGATATCATAAACCACTTGATTCCCATCAGCTGTGTTTTGATTTTCCAAAAACAAGAACAATTCACAATAGCTTTCTGAAAAGCCCTTAGCTCTCAAAATCTAAAATTTATTTATTAAATTCTGTAGTAGATCACTATTTCTTTGCAGTAGTTCACTTCTTAAATTTTCTTGTTCTTCATCTTTCCTGGCCCATCTTATTTCCAGATGTATCTAGATGTAAATGACCTTACACATGGATTTTTCACAGATAGACAGCAACGTCTTACATTGGCTATACTGATTTTCCAAGCTTGGTTTGTTATCTCAATATTGCACTAGAGCAGACGGCCAAGAGCAATAAACTGAAGACATTGACTCCCTACTTGGACACTGCAGTGCTTTTAAGAACAACTAGTGTGTGTTRGGTGTTTCCCAAAGAACAAAAGTGACCAGAGTTTTAAAAAACACCAGAGTTTTAAAAGATTCGTCTCACCTGCAGCACATTTTTTTCCTCCAAGAACAGGACAAATGGGGAGAGAGACTCATGCATTGTACAATTTCATCTGCTTATCAAAAGTTTCTTACAAATCAWGCAAGACACATTTGTTTACTTGAATACTCTATTTGTTTCCTTGGGTTTGCCACACCCCTGTTCTCCGAGTTGGTTTCGCTTTTTCATTCTCTCTCCTGTCTAGCATCAACAAGTTAAATCTATATTTCATTACTTTCTGTGGTCTGATTTTTTATCAGAAGCTACAAAYCTGTCTGGGGTTTGTGCCACTATTTCGTTCAATTCCTTTGAAAGAATCTCATCCTTGGCTTACTGCTTTAGTACACATTATTTTCTTTATTGTAGGTAGCCTTACACTTCTGAAATGTTGGTGCATTTGCCCTTGCAGGACCATACTCGTGACAGTCGTGACAGATTAAATAAATTCCTGATTTTGTCAAGTAGCACATATTTTTGTCAATTAGATTTTGTCTACACAGTACTTGTACTGTCTTATGTTTATGCCTTCCTCAGCACCTTCATTGGATCAAGGACAGAAGAGAAACCGATAATACTCTGAGGATTTCCAGGAAAAGGATAGGTTCAGCTTTACAAAGCACCTGTTAACTCTGTGGTGATTCTTTCAACTGGAATGCAAGGTCTGTAGGGTGAGGCATTTGGAACTGATACGCCATTTCCTTATGGAAAATTATTATTGTTAGTGTGGCATAAACACAGGCTTTTAAAAGGGCCAGATCTRTAAAGGAACTTAAACAAATAGAAAGTAATCCACTTTTAACGGGTACTAACCGCCAGGAACTTCACCTGTGTCTAAATAACTACAATCAGCAGCTACCACCTCAGTASAAACTCTGATAACCTTTCCAAAGCCAGCAAACATATTTTTACAGCTAGTTCTGCACAATCCTCCCTCCCTACTCSCTGAGAACTCCACAAGAACATTGGAAAATCAGTTTTGATCACTGTCAGGGTGCACAAGTTCTCTCTGACTTTCATCCAATCTATGCCAGCTCCTTATCTGAATTGTGCTGAGGTGCAGTCTCATGATCCAAGCCCTCTGGATGGATATCTAGGTTAAACACTTTGGTTGCCCACCTTGACTTGTACATGACCCCTAGAGTCTGGTACATGGTTTCCGTTATGAGGCTTGTGGGGTGTGCTGACATACAATGAGTCATATGTCAACTCAAAACACAATCTAGAATAGTCAAAACGGGTTGCTCTCACATGGATWTTGGAAGAGTATTTTGCTGGTTCAGCTCTGCCTGAGATAGCCCTTTAAGCTACAATTAGGTAAGAACATTAGCACCAATTTACAGCTAAGGCACAAGTTCCAGCCTGCRTGCTGGCCCCAGGTGCTGTCTTGTAGATGGTCTAACAGTATGAAAAAGCCTTGCCTTTCTTCCTTTCTTTGATTYGAAGGACTTTATCACATGGACTGGGCCAAGAAATCATCTCCTCACTGTTTTTATTTTCACTAGAATGTTTCACTGGAGTTTTGGAAGATGCCATACCTCTAACAAAGAGAATCAAACCAGGCAATGGAAAGCTATAACCTGATGGGTAAYATGACTCAGGTCATAGCTTCTTTTGCCTGGGCTTGATTCTCTTTGTTCCAAGTGAAACATCTTCCAACAATCCAGTGAAACCAAAGGTGTATAAAAAAAGTTACAGAATTTGGCACTGACCTAGTTCTCCACTATTTTGCCCTTGTCTCATGTGGATTTAGAAGAGCTCAATTGTGCCTCTGCTGATGTTAAGGAAGTAATTTTCCTATCTGTGCGAAGCAGAAACACACACTTTTGAAACATAAGGATCCAAGTGTTCCTAGGCTACCACATAGCTGGTTCTAAGACGCATGATTTCATGTTGAGGATAAGAGGGCATGGATTTGTTACCTCATAAATTAGTCAGAGGTGTGACTTTTGCAGAAACATGAAAATGCATAATGATCAAAATCATCAAATCTATGAAAGCAAACTTCTTCTAGAAGGTTGAGTTACAACACCTAACAGAAGATGATATTTTGGAACATGACACAATTTATGTTCAAAAACCTTTTCCTAGTCAGCCAATGACTTACCAATTTTCTTATATTTGGGTTCTGAAGCATCCGAGTAACTCTCTGCAGAGCCTAAGAAGGCTGAAAGAAAGAAAGGTCATTGTGACAAAATGTCGTTAATTTTAAGTTTACCCCATGAAACTTATTTTAACTTCTTAAAGTAGACGGGGGTGTTATCAGTTTCAATTCAGTTATTTCAGAACTGTACCGGTCCAATGTATAAAAATGAATGTGAAAAGCCTCATGATATTTCACTGTGACTGTGAAGTTTTAATTAGGCTGCAGATTTTTGTGCCAAAGATTTTTGCYGTTGTTCTTGTAATTGAAGAGGAAATTGTTCAGCAAATGCTTGCTAAGCTATAGACACACTGAAAACAAAGTCAACACTGTCATGAGGATGAAAAAAATGCAAAGAAATAGAACAAGTTTAATGTCATGTTACAGGACAACAAATTCTGCGAACTGTCAATTCTATGCTTGGAAGAGCTGCTTTCAGTTCCGGCCCGTGAGCATGAACAAAGGCAGAGGAAGCACATCTGATGTCGGTGAAGAACTGCATGACAAATGCATTGGGATTGTGCTAAAGCCAAGGGCTTGTAATGCAAGTTTAGAATTCAAACATAAAGCCTTTCAAATTCTCACTGTTTTACACTTACTTCGTTTAAGACATGTCTGCATCCTCATGTCAGGAAATTTCTCAGTGTTTTCAGYAGTAATTTCATCCAAAATAAGGTTCCCTGCTAAAAAGATGAAACAYGGCCACATGTCAATGTTTGTTCTCCGAAAAAATTACAGATAGAAGTAAAAGCAAGAGAAATACACCAACAGAGAGCAAAAATGAAATATGCTCCAAACAAAAGATAAAAACAAATTAATGCAATAAAAGATGTATCCAGATCCACATGATTTAGAAAGCCCACAGAGCTCTGAATGCAACTTTGTCACCCTGTGTTAATTTCTGAGCTGCACACCATTAATCTACTGCCATAAATTCTGTGGCTAATAAAACATAAGTACTTCTCAATGCTCTAATGATGAGCAAAGGATAAAACATCACAGCTGTGTCACAGTGTGATCTCAGTATTACTCAATTTATGTACTAAAGGGATTATATCCTTTAGGAGACRCAGTAAAGGGTTCTAAAAAGATTTTATATTCTGTGTTGCAAGAACTGTGAAGTTATCCATACCATTCTTTTACTGGTAAATACTTGAGCACTAATATTGTATCTTGCTTTTTTTCCAAAACCAATATATATTGCCATTAGATGCAAAACCCCCCAAATTCTAAACACACCAGGGAATAGTATAAATCATTTGTAAAGTTCATGTGAGCTTCCTGTAKCCATTCTAAGGAAGGATTGACCTTTGGTAAATTATTTTAAGTTATTTTGCTCAAACATAAAACAGGAGATAGAGATATTCCATGCATCTTTCTGAGTCTATGGATATCTCAACAGCCACATATTAATATATAGATTCTGAAATAGTAAATAGCTGTATCTGTGCTGCTACCAAAACAATGATTTTCTACCACAAGCCAAGCAGTATCTCTGGTCAGGGATGGATGAAGGAATGATTTACTATACATATATTAATAGCATTGCTGCACTGATCAGGGTGAGAAGTAAAACCTGACACGCTTCCTCAGGCAGCTCTGTGCATCCTGGACAGAAATAAGTGTGTGTGAACTGTATTTACACACATGCAAAGTGCTCTGGAAACTTATGTGTATCATCCCTGCTGTGCTCAAAGTGTGATGCTACTTGCATCTATTACTGCACTGGACATTTAACTGTGCATATTCTATGGCCATGGTGACAGGCTCAGCAACTTGGTCAGAGATAAAACTGCCATCTTTAAGAAAGGCCTGCAAAAATGCATAAAATCTCAGTTTTCTAARAAAATCCTGGGGCAGGGTACCAATTAGGAAAGAAGAAGATAAGCAGAGGTATAGAAACTTTACAAGTGTTCAAACTAGGGGAATGAAGCACATGTCAGCCAGAACACTGCCATGGAACAAATTAGTCTTTGCCATATCAATCTTACCAAAAATGTCTTCAACCTGCTTCTCCTGCTGATCCTTGAGCACATATTCTACTAATTCAGCTAGGAACAAAGGGAAAAAAAAAAAAAAGGGGGAACACAGTCATGATACAGTAAATTTCACAGCAAAACTCTTGTAAGCTTATCTTCATTAACAGAACTCTGCAGTGTAAGTAAAATTGAGAGTTAAATTAAGTTTTTCTTGTAATTTGTTGTTCAGGAAATAAAGATCAAAAGAAAGGAGAAGTTGAGGCAGGAAGCCTCAAGCAGAAGGAGACATTAATAGAGAGATTTTCCCTTAACAAACACAAGTTACTGTTAATCTATTTCCCCACAATGCACAGGTTCACATACTCWAAGTTAGATCTACCATCCATGAGATAAAGGCCACATGAGTAAATGCCACTACTTCAGATTGAGAATAGAATTTGTAAGAAATAGCTATAGCAAGTGATTCCAAAAAAATGTTTTAAAAAAYGAAAATTGCTTTCATACCTATTGTAGCRTAAGCATCTGTGGTGTTAGAACAGGGGTACAACACATCTCCATTTTCACATGGGAAATCCACATTATTTAAGTGTTCATAGTTGCTGGCATCAACTTCAAGATCTAGAGTTACAAAGGAATATGCATTGGCTCAATGAATACCATAACCCAGCAGAAAAAAGCCAGATAGCAGGACATGCAGAACAGGCAGATTTGTTACTTCAGCAGAAGGCTTTGGCTTTTCATTGTATGCTGGTGCAGGAGGAAGAGAATTGAGCTCTCATTAACTCAGTCATCTGAAAATCAGCACTTTCCTTTTGCTGAACTCTGAGACCTCATCTCTACTAGTAAACGAAATACGTCCTGAATCCATTCAATGACACTAGAGCCCAGACTCTTATGGCCTATTAAACCTTCTTATCCTTCAGGATATGGTGGTATCATCCAGGTTCCCTGTTCAGAACAGTGCCGTGTCCTTGAATTGCACTGCAAATTGCCTGTGAAGCTGATAGTTGGCCAAGGCTAAAACCTTGCCAGGGACCATGCTAACACCTTCACAGTAGAGATGCTCAGCTTCCAATAACTGGTGCTATGTCCCAATGATGTTTGATTAATCTACATCATCTCAGACATTGCTAAKGCTCAAAACTATTCCAATCAGAAAAACAATTGTGATAGCACAAGAGTCAGTTCTTGATCCCTAATTCATCCTACTTTCAGTCACTGAGCAAGTAAGGYCATGGGATAAGAAACACCCCTGCAGCTGTTTTTAACAGACAGAAGTTGAGARGGAGAAGCCCAACCTGGGAAATAATCAATCACAAAGATGATTCCAKATTCTGGTGCTCAGTTCTCCACTGATTTGCCCATGTGCCTACTGGCATTGGTCACTCATGAAAGCCACAAGGATGGGAGAGGGTATCCTCCACTTTGGTAACATTTTCCGCCTATTGGGCACAGAGCTATGGGACTATATTTGGCATACATCAGTTCTTCTCCTTTCATTGCCATTTTCAGTCCATGGTCCAGCTCATTTGTTTAAAATAAGCGCAGCTAATGCTCCATACCACAGAAACACTTTCAGACTTTTATAACAGAATACGCAAGGAGACCAGAACACTCCACAACTTCCACACAAAGTCAGGAGCACAAAGGGCAACCTCCTGATCTGACTGCCTGTAGGAACTGAAGTGCAAGAAACCGTCCTCTTCAYACCCTGGCCCTTCTGCTTTCTCCCATTCATAGAATCATCACTGTACCCTCAAAAGCAGGAAAATKACATCTGGTAGTGAAAGTCCTTTGTTGTGGTGCCTTTGGATCTCAGAATGAAATGCTGTTTGCTTGAGGACTGTCTTCCTCGCAAACTCATCTAAACGTCTCTGTTYTGCAAAGCTTTCTGCTTGAAGCCACAGAGGTGTTGGCAATTACACTTGGCCAGCTTATGACAGGAACATTTGCAAATAACTACTTAAAGGAATGATATCCAAATGAAAGACATTGTCATGCCTTGATGAGTGACAGGACAGTGTGTTTAGTTAGAGTGACTGAGCAGGATGATGTAAATGTGTACAGTTTTAAAATGTGATTGTTTGCAGAAGCAGTCTCTGTATGCACAGATACAGATGAAGCTACCATATCCCAGCACCAAGTGCCTGTAGAATTGAACCCAGTCACCATGATAAACTGCCATTAGATGGCTTTGYAGCTGAGAGGAGATGGCAGTAACTTACAGCATGAGGACTAGACCAATCAAGCATTTRTTAGTGCTTTACTAACCTGTAGAGAAGTCACCTTCTTCATCTYCAGATGGCTTAGGATCAAGGAAAGCACACAGTTGCAATGGATCGATATCGCTGTGCAGCAAATCAAGGTAGCTGTTTTCAGGCACAAAYATTGAATCCATGGTTTGTCTCTTTGCCTGAAATCAGATTGCACAGCAGTTAGGCTATGACACAGCCACAGCTTCTGTCAGTCAAAACCACAAGTCCTGCACTGTGGCTTTCTGTTGGCAAGACAGAGGTCTTGAGGCTGGAGAGATGGCATTGCTTACCAAGAGCTGCATTGAGTTACAACCCTGAGTTATTTAAACTTATAGATCCATGAGCTGCAATGRGACTCCCCTATCTTTTACTCCAGAGAGAGGAATGGGATACTGCAATCTGACCACTGGGACCAAAAGTGCCAAGTACTGAATAGGTGGCAACCCCTGTATCTTACCAGGATATAAATGATGTGAGCACAAATCCAGCAGGTATMAGGGAAAATAGAAAATTTCAGTGAAGACAATAGAAGAATCCCATTCTTTATTGTCAGGACAAWTTCATCTCAGGAGAAGGAGCTTCTGCCTGAGATGCTATGCCCAGTTCCTAAACCCTGAAGATGGCACTAGGAGACATTCRCACAGCACAAGAAGGAACAATGAAAGGAGAACTCTTATTTTCGAGAACTTTTCCCCAAACAATATGGTTGATTGTGTACAGAATGGCGTGGTCACCTTGGAAATGAATTTCTGGTAGCATGGTTTACTTGTTTTGGTTTTGACACAAATCTTTACATAGCTGTCTCTATTTACTACATTGGAGCTGGGATTCCTTTCTATATCTGAACCAACTCATTTTYAATAGCAGCTGTATTCTGCTTTAAAAACATGGTGCCACCATGGAAAATAAAGAAGCAAGTTTTTAAAAGATGGAWATTTCTACATGGAGAGGCAGAGGCAAGGAAAATTACACCTTAGGGACAGCAAGTATTTTGCTGCATATTGYAAATGAAGCACACAAAATTAAACCAGACCTTCACCAAGCTTGTTTACAACTGCAACTCCTTTCCCAGAGCTTCCCCTTTTTTGGTCACAGCATCCCAGCAGTCCTGTCTGAGGCAAAGAGTGAATAAGCTCTGCAGTGCTTAGCACTTCCTCTGTTGTTTCATACATGATTTTAACTTATTTTACTGATAGTACATTCTCTTTGGGATCTCATGGGACCCAGTGCTGCCAAAATGGGTGTCTGGCACAGTTTCATGCCAGCGGACTAAGGAATTTTGTAATAATTTCTGTGTTAGGGCTGTGAAGGTCAGGGGCAGCTCTCAGCCATAGTCAGACAGAGCCTGCAGGGAGCTGCAGGACAGGAGTCCCCAAGGCCACCTGCGAGGTTTCCAGGCACAAAGGGCATGTGCTGGCTGAGGGCGAGACAGGACGTACTTCCAAATGGATTTCCATGCCATTCAGAAAGTTCAATCCTTTGTGGTTTGGACACTGGTAAAGACAAATATTGTCTTTTAAATCCTTAAATAACACCTCCTTTCTCCAGCAGCCGATACGCTCCGGTTGCATGGGCACACTCGGCAGCCCTGTGTGCCCTGGGTGCCACCTCTGCAGTGACTCTGGGCACACCTGACACTGCCAGCTCTCACTCACGATGCATTTGGCTTAGCTCTGCATCCTGCATATATGGCATCACAATATGGGTCACTTCCAAGACTCACAAAGCTTTTTTCAATGCTCTTTTAGAGTCCAAGTGATATCATACGATTTAAAAATGCTGGAAAAGTAATGAAAGAAACAGTGAACATCACTGTACAAGGACAAAGAAGAAGTAGGTGTTTAAATCACATACGAATCATAAGCATTAGATGGGGCATTTTATTTTTTCTACAGGTAATGGTGGTCATTTGATTTATCATTTTTCCCAAATAATTCTATTTAATCATGTCTTATATTTCAAAGGGTCAACATGTTGAAGACTCCAGGCAATGGGGTCTGCCACTAACAGAAATAAAATGGTATCTAAAAGAACAAAGGGTTATAAAGGTTAAAATGCAACATTTATTCCAATAATAAGGTAAAGGAGAGTAGATTTGAGGAGCGTKGTTAGGGGGTTTCCTTCCCAAACCTCTATTGACATATGAACTAACTAGTAATGAAATAAATCGCCCACATGAGTAGAGAGGTTAAGAAAATGAMAATTTGTAAAGTCATTTTAGGAACAGAGGAAATCCCCGTCCCATTTAACGTTTGGACCAGTTTAGGAAGCTGARGACAATTCATAGAAAAGAGTAGTAGTGCCATGCAAATCACACACTTTTTAACCAGAGGATGACATAACATCCAAGTCTTTCATAARATTCCAAATCCTAGATTACAGAAAAATTAGGAAGTGGAGCTGCTGTAAAGACAAGAAGTTGAAAAATTAAATACAAAGATTGCTGAACAAATGTTATTTTCCTGCAGCACCCCAGACCCATTAAAGGCTACCCATGAGTCTGAATGAAACAGGCTGACAAAAAGCAGATTATATCAAGCTGTAAATAAGGAGCCCAGTGAAAGACCAGTACTTTGATTCAAAAGTACTTTGATTGAAAAGCTCAGTGTAGTTGGACACAATTTTATAGCCCTGTTTTCTTTCAATACCTTTACAAAGTTGTTTCTCATCTTCTGTGCCCCCTAAAGGTTATGTTAAGGTGCACAAGGCACTCCCCCGAAGGCAGGGCTGTTTCCTGGCTTTTACCACAGGCAGTGTTTTGGGACAAGGTTCTATGGGAGGTGGGCAAGCCAGCAGCGAGGAAGGATGAAATTCCCACCATGTGCTAATCACTTGTCTCCTTTTCCTCTCCCCAAATAAATCACTAACAATTCCTCTGCTCCACAGGTACCACAGAGATTTTCCTTTCAGAAATGYCCTGATTATTTGTAAAATGCAAGTAATTGAGCTCAATTTGTATTTMGCTTTGAAAGTTTTAGTTTCTATTTCAGATCTGTGAAAAACTTKTAGACCTGAAAGCCAGTTTAACCTTTTCTACTGTATTACCCAACTCAAGAAGAGATACTACTTCTGCTGAATATTAGAAATATTCCATTATTTCTAATGGAATGGTGTTACTTTCCACAYACTTTAAACTGAAAGAAAAACAGTGCGGAAAAAACTCCCTGATCTATATCCTGTCTCATAATTGTCTTCCTTAGAGATTAGTTTAAAGAAGTTTAAAAAAGCATAAATATCAGGTAAAAGGTGGTTTTGCCTTTCAATTGAGCTTWGCTTAAAATCAACATTATTGTTTGGTGCTAGCGATGGACACATTCAGGCAGAGCAGYAATGAGTGCCTGCAGGAGTCAGAGTTGTGATTTTGAGCAGAATTTGCCCTTCATGTCCAGTATTGCCTCCTGTGTACCAAATGTACCCAGCTCTCCCATCCCAGCAGTGAGATAAAGCATCAGAGCAGATGTTCGTCTACATCTTAACTCAAGAGCTTTCTTCAAGRCAGAATTTCAGCCCACCTCAATGCAAAAGTAAAGCTTTAAGTTGTTTTGCCAGTTTTCTGAAAAAATGGAAATAAGCCAGGTCTTTTTCAATGATTTTCAGTTTCACTTTCTATWGGCACAACATTTAGACAAAGAAAAGAATATTCTTAACAAAGTCTGAAATAAACTACACCAACCTTTTCGGTAAGTAACAGGGCTAGCTTACTAAAGGAAGCTAAAGAAAATCACACAAATTCTCAAAAATTTCACCCACATTCAGACATCATCCTACAGTGCAATTAGAAATATGTACAAAAGGCAAGGTAAGATTAATTTACCATGAAAAAGGCATGCATTCAAAGGTTGAGAAAAAACTGACCTTAAGAGACTGGACAGGTCCTGCTCTTTCACTCTGGACTCAGTACCAAAAAATGATGAGAACTTCCAGCCCTGCCCAGGGCTAACAGAAAGTGACAGTAGAAAGGAGGAAATAAGAGGGAGCAGAACACTGAGAGGGGGAATTCCAAACAGGAAAATTAGGAAGAACCTCCCTTCTAGCAACCCCAGTATAACAAGGACTTTTACCTTTAYTGGTCACTTGTCCTGTTAAGAGCTTGATCTTGTCACTAATTAGGGCCAGATCAATTTATTTGGTTGCAAATCAGAATTGGGTAAGAGTTGACAGTAAAACTTTCCATTGCTCCCCTACATTCTTCCTTTCCCTTTTCATTCCAATTCAAATCTGTCCCAAAGTTCACACTGTAAACAGTCCATTAGTAAGAAAAAAGCCCCAGCATGTGGACACTTACCCAGCAGCTCCACTTGGTGTAACAGAAGTGAAAGTATGTCTTTCACATTCTAGCAATAGCAAATTAGTTTTGCATCTCATGCTGGAGTCTCTTGCCATTGGCCCAAATGACAAGTGGGATGTTCTATGGAGCAGGAGCTTGTCTGGCTTACACATGGTGTTCACAGTTTGCTTGCAGCAGCATGTTTATTCATCTAATCATCACTTACCTTGCCATGCCTGCCTGGTGTAAGGCAAACAACCTTTTGAAAACCAAGTTAATTCATGAGTGTTCCTCTCATGATGCCTATAGCTGCTTCTGTGTTACTCTGCAAGCTTATTTGYTTATTTTTCTATTTTTTATCATGCATAGACTTACACAAATGGACAATTAATTATGCAAGAGACTGTGCTCTATAGTGATAAGATACTTTTTGTGATATTATTCCATTGTCTATATCTTTTAAGTAAAGTTTCACCAGTCTGAAGGGGAAAGGAAGTAGGATTGGATGAATACAATGACATCCACACTTTCTGCTTCAGTAAGGCAGGATTTCAATCAACTGTTCAGTGAGAAATGACTTCTGCACAAGGCAGCAGTTCCATTAGCAAAGCKGCTGCTGACCTGTGTGAGATTTTTCTCTTTGCAGAGGAGATGAATTTTCACCAGGTTCCAYGAGAACATGCTCMCTGAGRAGAGACAAAGCYGTTTCCTTCCTGGGAGGGGTTGATSTGTTCCCARTRTTTACAGACATAGGGTCCAACCTGTGATGCAGAACATGCCTCTTCAGGCTCTCTCACCATCCAGGCTGTGTTGGAATTCCTCTATGCACATTGGAAGAAAAGCAACATCTCAGAAYAACAGCATTCAGAGCAGAAAATAACAAAA